GTGTGTCATCTACAAAAACTACATAATATCTCATATGTTAGGAGGATTCAACAGGTGCAGGACCCCAGAATTCACAAAAAAATTCAATAAAAGGTTCCTTCTCAATTTTATTTTCAAGCCAAAAGTTTTACAACTTTTTCTCAACTAACAACTAGAACAAATTGTAGTCATTTTAGTCCAACTACTAACTTTGGTGCAACTATTACTATTCAAAACTTTTAAATGACTTCAACTAGGATGTTCTAATCTAGTATGCCACATAGAGATTGTTATTTTTCATATCATAAATTCCACTCCTCATAGATCCTTAGCCAGTAGTATACTTCTCTTCTTGTCCTTTACGACAAATTTAGTTTCATCAAATTCAAAAGGACAACAATTATACTTCACAAATTTGCTAATCAAGAGTAGATTTTTATTAATCTTAGAAACTACAAGCACTTCTCTTAATTTATGCCTGATCTAGTTGTGTTCCCAACGTGTGTTGTGTCTAATTTGATCCGTTCCCAACAACGATTTTATCTACTCTATTGTAGTGTTTTAGACCATTTAGAATACCTAAGTTATGTGTCATATAACTACTTGCTCTGAGTCCACATACGAAGTGTCATCAGTACCAGGTGTATTCTATTAGATTAACAACATCTAATGCTTTTGGCAGTTCATATGCATAGAGTAGTCCCACCTGTAAAAACACTTAAGAGTGGTGTGGTTATTCCTACCACAAATTTTACATGATTCAGTATTTTTCCTTTCCTTGTTTCCACTTGGGAAACTTTGATTGTTCTGAGAACCTATTCAATATTGGTTATTCATGTTCCCTGTCCAACAGGCTTTGTAGCCTTTTCCTCGGGAGTTGAAGTTGCAGTTTTCTCTTCTTTGATAGTAATTTCCTCTTCTCCTGCCCCTATTAGAGAATGACATGTTATGATTCTATTGTGATACCTCTTCTTCATCATCCCTCATCAAAATCCCTTTGCGCATTGACAAATTGATGAAAAGTGGGATATGGTGTCTTATCTAGAATGACAGTCTTGAAGATTTTGTACTTTAACCTAAACCTCTAGAAAAATTGATTACTTCACTATCTTCATCCACAAGTTTGTGAATGGCCGCAAGGACATTACATTTGTCTTTGAATTCCTTAATGTATTCATCAATCTTTTTTATTCCAGCCTAACACATTGCAGTTGTTGTTTGAGCTGAAACACCTTATTTTTTATTGCTTGAAGGTAAGTTTCTTCCAAGCATTCTCATATCTCGTTGGCATGAGCAATACATAATCATATACATGCTTTTATTTGTCAAGGTGCGTGAGATTCAACTTCTTAGCAACACATCTTTCTCCTTCTAGTCATCAATGCTGCCACTATCTTCTACATCCTTATCAATCGCTACAATTTTCAATAGTCTGTCCAAGAGATCAACTACTTTTTGTTGGTTTAGTGAGACCAACTACTTTTTGTTGGTTTAGTCTTGGTGATAACATAGGTTAGTCTTATCACCTAAATCAACTAGGACATTTGTAGCCTCATATGAGAATGTTTGTTGGCTTAAGTTCAATGGAGCAAGATGCAGTGAGGTGGTCAAGTAAAGATGTGGAGAGAGTGTTGATAGAAAGGTCTATTGCAATTTGAACGCATGGTTATTTTTTTAGATTCATATTTAAAGAGCGTAAAAGCTTTAAAGCTCTGATACCATGTATAATTCTCATGTAAAGATCGAAGAAATCAAGAATTGCTTTAATGTTAGAAACTACATGCTCTTTACATAGGAGAGAGTCCTAGGCTAGATATAGGGATTGGGACAGAGGGATTATTTAATTGACTATGTGGTTATCGGTTAATCTGTTTAAGAAAAAACCTCAAACTGGTAAGAACTGATAACCCAATAGAAAAAAAATCAAAATCATTATTAAAATTGTTACCAATAACTCAATATTGCGAAACCAATAACTTTTTTTCAGTTCAGGTTATCGGTTTCGATTCGATTTTGAACATCCTACCTACTACGGTACAAGTATATTATTACACAAGTATAGGTTGACTACTACTACTACAATTATAATACCTTATCCTAATAGACTACAACTAGTAAAAGATACAACGACCTAAGTAGCCTAGTTGACGTATAGTAGTTCAGTCCTAGTGTGAATCTAACTCTGTAATAGTTAATAGTTGTACACGTTGGTTGTACCACGTTTTTCAGCATGTTCCATATCTACGGCTTCCCTTATCTTCAGCACATCCACCCTTGAGAAATATTCTTCAATACATTACTCGCTTTGAATTCTCTCACTTTTATCCCTAGGCATCCAAACACTTCAATTTATTGATTTACTAGAAAGAGCCTCACCTCTTTCTGTTTGTGGGCCTGATTCAGGCCCCATGATATTCCAAGTAGAAAAGATCATGTTGGAACAAATGTAATGAGGTTGTCAACACCTATTTCACCTTAAGACATGATTTGATTGCCACTCCTTTGAGGTGGATCTTCTTACATCATGCCTGACTTCTGCATCACCTCATGTGGTGGTTGCAACTTAACAATATTACATAGAAGTTTTATCTGCTATACTTGTCCCTACCTAGGCTTGGCTTACAACTTGCCAAACCTATTGCTTTTTCCTAGTATTCTTCTTAATCACTCCAGGTTCTATCAAAATCTTCTCTTGCCTAAGATCAATATGCTCTACTCCTGCCTTCTTGATTGTCCTCCTTCTTAAATCAACATTAAGCATCATTATACCCAAATTTCAAGCATCTATTGCAATATTTCGGTCTTCAATCATACTCAACTAGTTGATACCACGACCTAGAAGGGGTTCCAATCACAATTACCTGAGGCAAAAGGCAGTGAAACAAATACTTCAATCAAAATCCTAACAAATGCTATCTTCTCTCCACTAAACGTGAAGCTATCTATACATAGAGGTCTACCCAATGCATTTGCAACTTTACTAGACGCTTCTATTGACCAATAACCCATAGGTGGCCTAAGGAATTTAACCCATATGGAATGAAGCTAAGAACCTCATGATCAAGTTCAAAGTCTAGTTTCCATTGCTTGAAAACTAGTCTATTATTAATATAGTATTGTCCTTCAGTAAGTACTCTCTCCTTGTATAGCTTGCTCTGAAATTTAAAGATATAATACCCATCATCAGGGAAAAGAACCCAAGGTTTGTCCTCCTCACTCTAGTTGAGTAATTGTCCATTTGATTTAGCGAAGGTGTGTCACCCAATACTTAACCAATTAGGGCAGATTCCCAAGTCTTAACATGATCCTTAATATCATCTTCCTTAATTTGCATACTTAAAACCCCATTCTTAAAACTCGGAGGAACATAGTTTAGAGACCTACCCTCACTATGATTTCCCCACTCTGGTCCAGTGGTTGGAATTGGATGAGTGTTTGTTTCATCATCAGAAAAATATAACCGCTGAAATACTGGTTCTCTACTCTCCTACTTAATAAATCATAGTTGCACCTCATCCTCCAAGCTACTTGCAACATATTCCTTAGATACAACTTCAAATCCTGGAGTAGATAGCTCACAAACCTGATTGGCGGAAGATCGCTAAATATGTCAGCTGCCGGAGTGACATAGTTTTGGTCATGGGTCGTTGCTCTATCTTGTGCCATATCCAATTCCGATCACAATTGTTACCTTGTTATTGTGCACCTGGAGAACGCTACGAGTGCCAAAGATGCGTACTTGTATGTTCTGTTCACATATCTTTAACTTAGTCAAGCATTCTTCAAGGCCATACATGGAAACCCAAGTGTTAATCCAATCCATCTTAAATCCACCTAAATGTGTCCAATTCACCCATTCCTGATATGAGTAACTCTACACACTTTGCATAAATAATGCATTCCAAGAGTTGGAGAAAATAAGAACTTCTTGGTGTAGGCTGAACCCTCTTGGTTGATACTATTGTTAGAGTTATATTTGTAGAAATGTAGTCATCACTTGCTAATCTCAAGAAAAACTAATAAATTTGACAACACGTTAGCAAGATATGAATTAACTCATCAGATAAATTTTGATGAACGACTAAATGTAGTTTCTTGTAAGTTTTGAAATAATATTGTCAATTATAAAAGCTTTTCAACAAACTTTGGAGACACCAAACAAACAGAATTAACATCAACACACAAATTCAACTTCAACGTCTCAAGTATCAAAGAAAGCACTAACTGAAGGATAACAATATTAGAGAATCCAAGACAAAGATAATGAATCACACATATGCTATTAATAGGTAGCTTAAAAATACACCTTCATAGCTTCAAATGTGTTAACATTTCACATATACCATGGTTTAAGACGAAGATGATGAATTGATCCACCTTTGACTATGCATAAGTGTCCCTCTTGGAGAATATGATGGAATCCCATAACAGGTCCAATATGTTTCATGAGAGTTTCACTAGATATCTTGCTTGCAACACATTGAATCATATTTGACTTTTCTTAGAATTATTTTTTATACAAATTTAAACATTTACTTCAACAAGAATTGAAGGGTCTATACATAGTTGCTTTATGTATTGGATGAGGAGTTTTTTTCATCAAAATGTGCAACTTTGACAGAATTTTTGAGTGGGATCGGAACTATAAATTGTTGAGAAAGGAGAATAGTAAAAGGGAACTTCTTAATAGTTCTCAATTTTTAAAACATCCAATAAATAAAGGTAAGTTAGTAAATTATCCCTTCAATTTATTAATTTCCTTAATAAGCGTGAAATGAGCTAAATTAACATTTTTGTTGGGATAGAAGAAGTAGTAGTATATAATTATGTCGTTATCATTCAATACTCATCTGCCCAACTGTGAATGCCTATTTATCTCGTTCACTGTGTCGTGCTTCCACATGTCGTCCCCCCCTCTCCCCTACCCTATTTTTCTTAAATATTTTAGCTATATATATGGTCATTTTAAGTTTCCAACAGCCACATACTATAGATTGAGAGAGAGATATATATATATATCTGTTAAGAGAGATATGAATAATGGTTATCGTGTTGGTTCAAGAAAAGGAAGATTTCGTGGACGTAGATCCGCTACCCCTTCACTTACCCTTTGTATGCTACCTAGCTTCTCTTTTACTTTTATAATGCATTCCCCTTCCCCATGGAACATTCATGAAACTTTGTATCTGCTTTATATATTTAATTTTGATATGACTACTCAAGTTGATAGTCTCATTAAGAACAATCTCTCTACCTGCACAAGGTAGGAGTAAGATTGCATACAAATCACTCTTTTAGACTGCACTTGTGAAATTCCACTGAATTTTTCATTATCTTCTTTAACTCTATTGTGTGTGAATATATCAGTTGATCTAGTAAAGTTGAGAGTTAAAACTTATGTATACATTTCTTTGCTTGTTGTATCATCATGTTCTATACATCCATCATTAATTAGTTGGAGACTATATATGCATTTTTTCCATATGCATAGTTGAAAAGCTAGTTGTTTGTATATCAAAGATCAATAGATCGATTCATGGCAATAGTGATTGACACAATCATTTCTAGTTTTCTTTTGGAATTTTTAAGACAAAAGGGAAACAATTTGCATTCATGCAATCTTTTCAACCTATAGTATATCCTCTCTAACTCATTTTTATTTGTGTCTCCCATCCAAAAAGAATAATAAAAAGAGAGCAAGAAATAAACCGTCTGAAGCTAGCATCTTTAAAAACCAGCTAGTGGTATTACACAAATTAAAGGCATTAATTTTGGCATAAAAATTGCCTAATGTGTTAGTTAAAATTTGAGGAGATCTTTCAATATATATATATATATATATATATATATATATATATATATATATATACACACACACA